CTACCTCTGGGTCTTCAGCCTTTTCAGCCTGTCTACTGCTTCGATCACATATCTATCAAAGTCAACGGTTTTGCTTGGGTTAATTCTTTTGAAACACTGCTCATGACACTTCATGGCAGAAGTAATCATTCAGACATTTTATGCATTTTGGTTCATCCTCAGTCTCAAATGCTCTTGTATTTCAACATTTCGATGGATTCTCTTACAAATATACGTATTGTGAGGTACGAGCAGATGTGGAATATTTGGTCCTCTGTTATTCAATAATCTGATCTGTTCGTGGCCTCAATTCCATGTCACTGCTTACCTCCAAAACTCTTTGTGCCTCTTGTTAGTCATGAATAACTAAATTTGTATTAAAATATTCAGTGACCCAGTCTCCACTGGTGTCCGAAGAAGAGAATTTAATCAAACAACAAACTACCCCCAGAGGTGAAAAAAAATTCCCCTTATCTCCATCTTAAATGGGAGTAACTTGGATAGAAAACGTGTCCTACCATTTTGGTCTGTCCCACATAAGGAAACATCCTTTCATAATTCACACTGTCAATTCCCTTCATGTTTCAATAAGATCACCTTTTATTCTTCCAAATTCCAATGAATGCTGGTGCAACATTTCCAACCTTCATCCCAGGAATCAGTTCAGTGAACCTTCTTTAAATGCCTTTCATGCTATTCTATCCATTTTCAAGTAAGGAGACATGAACTGCTCAAAGTGCTCCAGATATCATCTCAAGAATGATCCATACAACTGCAGCAAAACATTCCCGTTTTATATTCATTTCCGTCATGATTGACCACTTTCCATTTGCCTTCCTAATTCTTGCTGTACTGCAAAATAGCGCCAATGACTCACATACCAAGATGCCTCTCACAGTAGTTATACTGAAAATAGATTTTTTTAATGCCCCATTTTATCCTTCATTCCATATTCCTTTTCTACTCTCATGGACCAGGGATCCAATCTGTCAGCTTTCTAGTCTGTAAGGCTCTCAACTACTCACTGGATTAACTTGCTGAGCTATCAGGGAAGCTCAATGTGCCAGAATAACAGAAACAAATACCTTTCATACACACGTAACCCAGGCCCAGAAACCCAAGGCTTTCATTAACCTGTCACTCTCTCTCAACAGCTGTGATTATTATTCTTTAAACAGGTTTATGGAACTGCAACTGAAAGGATTATATTCCCTGGAGACAGCATTTTTCCTTTGTTGCCACATCCAAGGGGGGAAAATAGCTTCAACTTGCTTCATAAAACACAGCTTAGTTTACTTGAATATGCTTCTTCATCAAGTTTATTTTTCTTATAAACTGTAGCTTTGTGAAGATTTGTATCACAATATCGATAATTCCAAGGCCATATAAACCAAGATAATCTGAGTGCAATATTTGATGCGTGTTAAATTAAGCTCAACAGGGGTATCTGTAAGACACTTTGGTTGATCTCTGTGACCCCCAACTTCTTAACAAAGAACGGGAAACGTACTCAAGCATAAGTCCTGCCCCTGATAATTTTCTGGCATCCCTCTTGAAATGTACATTCACAGGCAGGCTCTCTACTGTGAATTAAAAGCAAAGTACTGTGAAAGCTAGAGATCTGAACTAAAAACTGCAAGTACTGGATTAACTCAGCAAGTCTGCCAGCAAGTCTGTGGAGAGGGAAATAGAGTCAATGTTTTGTGACTGATATGGCTTTTTATTGAAACTTCATTTTGTGGGTAATGTTAGGTTCAGCTATGTTATAATCCAATATCCCCATTTCCATGCAGAAGGAAATATATCCCTCCAATATTTACAGACCAGACTCTCATATTAAGAATGGTCATGTAACAATGTAATAGAGGGTTTGCAGAACCCAAGAATCAAAAGAGATATGGTTAGTTGCTATCTTCTTTCCTGCAAAGGAAAATTGCAACTATTTTCAAAAGATATACATGCTATTATCAACATTTTTGAACAAAGACCTTCATCAAACTTTGAGATGACTTGGAAAACATTTTATAAAACTGATTTAGAAAAAGTATTCTGAAAAATTGATCTTTCAAATAACATAGTTCAGCTTTTGATATTCAAAACATAATTTGTAACACAGGACCAACCACATGTGCTCTCAAAGCACTTCCTTTAACTGTGTACGTGCGTGGAATGTTCCTGGACTTGCATAGTTGTGGGAAAGGTTGGTTCATGCATTTGTGTTATTCTTTAAAACGAGACTGTAAAATATTTAATTTGAATCATGAAAACTAGCTGGGAATGGAAATCTTCCACAGAATGTACAAACCAATATTGATCATTTCTGAGTAGGGAGCTCTGTGAGCAGGATCCCTAAAAAACCCAAGGCTTGTTTCCCTTTGTTTTTGCATAAAGGAGGAGGACAAATGACACCACTTGAAGAGTCACTGAGGAATTATTCAGTCTGACTGTAAGAAAGAGCTGACTCACTGCCGACAGTTTAAATAAGAAGATTTCTGCAATACCTTGGATTAAATGACTACCTGCTGATCTCAAATATGCTTCCATAACTCTCCAGCAAGTTTCCTTGACTATGTCATTAGAATTCAAGGCTTATTGGAAACGTGAATATCAACAGAAAATAGGAAACCAAATGAAGGTATTTTAAAATCTGATTCAACATTTAGTTTTTAAATGAAATCTGGATAAAGATGTGGCTTCTGCCTCCGATCACGTGCAACATCCAATAAGATTAGACTGTCGAGAGTTGAAATTCGGGGTAACAGGTCAATTTATCCTCTTACCATTGTTAATCAGTTGTCTGGGAAATCCAGATGAATAGGGGAGAAAATGTATGTTAAAATTTTCAGCAAGGAAATGTCAACAGAACTAGAATTAGATTTTACCGTCACGTGTGCCAGAGTACAGTGACAAGTGTACAAAGTTACCATTTTCCAGCACCATCTTAGTTACAAAAAATTAAATATTTCACCGACAATTGTAAAAGTTTTATCCATATGCTCATACTGCCCTTTAGCAAAAACACCTAAATCCCAATGGTGATTTTTCTTCCTCACAACCCATCAACCAAATACCATAAATTATCTATGGTCTTACCAAGAAAGAAATGCACTGTGTATATTTACCTCGAAATTCAATTGGATAATACCAGTTTTCCAGGTGAAATGGGCACTGTTGAACCCAATACAACAATATGATCTGGACATGCACACCCTGCATCAAAAGTCTGTCAAACCCCACTTGAGAGAAGAGAGAGGTTTGATGAGGGCAATGCTGTTGATGTGTTGCAGATGGAGTTCCAAAAGATGCCTGATACAGCGTCACACAACAGATTTGTAAGAAAGGTTACAGTAGGATAGTAGGAACATGGAAACAAAATTGCCTGAGGGATGGGAAACAAGAATAATGGGTATTTTTCAGGTTGTAGGAAGATTTGTAGTATGTGTTCTCAGAAATTGGTAATGGGATCCTTACTTTTCCTGATGTATATTAATAATCTAGATCTTGGTGTGCAGGGTGCAATTTCAAAGATTGCAGAAGATACAAAACTTGGAAGCACTGTAAACTGTAAGGACAGTGTAGAACTTCAAAAGAACTTTGACAAGTTGGTGGAGTGTGTAGAAAAGCAGCAGATGAGGTTCAATGCAGAGAAGTGTGAGGTATACATTTTAGTTAGAAATTAAATAAAAACAGATAGTATAATTGAAAGGGTACTGCTCTGAATGATGTGCAAGACCAGAAAGATCTGGATGTAAATGTACGTAAGTCTTTAAAGCAGGACAGGTAGTGACCTCAGTTATTAAAGCATACAATAGTCTTTAATAGAACATAGAATATGGGAGAAGGGAGGTAATGCTGAACCTATATAAGACATAGTTTGACCTGAGCTGGAGCATTATATACAGTTCTGGGTCCCACTTTATAAAAGGACTGTGAGCACATTGGACAGAGTGCAGAAGAATGGTTCCAGGGAAGGGATACTTCAATTATGAAGACAGACAAGAGAAGGGGAACTGTTTTTTTTTGGCGAGGAAAATCTCAGAATCCTTATAGTGTGAGCAGGTTAAGAAGAAATTAATGCAGAGTTTTGAAAATCATGAGCGGTCTGGACAGAGCAGAAGCAGAGAAACTGTTCCCACTCATAAAAGTTTTGAGAATGATGGATTTAAAATAATTTGCAAAGGAAGCAATTGTCATGCAACAAAAACATTTTCACACAGCAATTAATCCAAGTCTGGAATGCACTGCCTGGAAATGTGGCGGAGGCAGGTTAAACTGAGGAATTCATGAGAATATTTGACATTCATTTAATTAGAAATAATACGCAGGGTAACGGGTAAAGGGTAGAAGAATGGCACTAAGTCATAATGCCTATTCAGAGATCGGTGAATTCACGTTGGGACGAATGACCTCCTTCTGCACCATAACAGTTCTGTGATTCTAGAATAACGTGTATATTGTATACATTCAGTGAACGCGTGTGAAATGGGCATTAGTTTCACGGCTTATCCAAGTCAGGCCTAATGCTTATTTGAGACCCTTTTGTGGTTCCCGTTGGCCATTTCAATCACAGTGGGAAATTTTCTCTGGAGTACAGTAGCCAATTCAGTGGTCACTGTTGGGAACCTCAAAGCCACCAATAAGGTAACACAACCATTTTGCTTGAGCATATTCCTGGAGGCTATTGCTAGTCCACACTTGCACACCTTGTACTCAATTGCTTCCCTCCCCAGAGTTATCTTTGGCATCTAGGCACCACCTTGGTCGGCCAATCATGGTGTGCCTCACAGCGAGCTGTCTCTAGGATCATGGCTGAGGCTGTACTTCGCCTGTAACAAAGCAAATAATGCCAGTGGCAGTTGTTCCATTGTGGCCTTTTTAGCCATATGCAACATATGCTGGCCCTGGATTGTGTCCACCAATTCCATAATCTTGATAGTGTAATGCTTCAGCGAATAAAGCTGAAAGGCACAAAACTGTTTTGTGAACAGATTTCGTATCACCAGTTGTACAGCCGCACTTACCTTTTTACGCAGGCTTCAATCATGTCACTGGCCATGAGTTTGAGTCTCTGGTCCAAGTGCTGGGAAAATTCAGGCTCTGGCCAATGTAGATCATAAACAAACATCTGCAGTGCATCTAACTTCCAGAAGAGATCCTCAGACGTGGAAGAACCATTCCTAAAGTGGAAAAGTACGGTGAGATATGTGTATCTTTTTGTTTCATGGACCATGTCAATGTAGAGCAATTAGACAGCAAAACAGACTAACAACAACAACAGAGAAGTAATATTCACTACAAACATAGATATCCAATACGTGGGGTGTCATTGATAATAGTTTGGTACGTGAGGGTTGTTATCATTGCCTTTTGCCTAAGGGATTGAGATAGAACGGAGAAAAGTAGTTCCTCTTCATTAGTTATTGATAACAAGTGTCTATCTCAATGTCATCTGATTGATGGAAGATTACATAAACAGAGCAGCCAAGGTAAGCAGTTTATATATATAGCAGTGATAACAACTTGAAGAGTTTTGAATTCAAAAGTGTGATTGGTGAATTGCTGAACAGATATATGACTGAAATGCCCTTTATTGTGGATTAAACAGTTGATGGGAATGGTAATTTTATAATTATCTTGATTAGTGTTCATGTCTTAGACATGGTTACAAATGATAACAATTCAGAACAGCTCAATATTTATTGGCCAAGTTTTATGAAGTAAGACTATTGGAAATAAGTGATAAAAATATCCTTCCAACAAAGAAGATTCACATCAACAAACTGACAGTAAACACTGCTGATGGCTCAGTTGCTTAAATCAATTGATGATCAAAAGGTCCAAGGTTTGCTCCCCTCTTTGGGCTGAGCCAGCTGATGCTGAGATTAGTACCAAAAGCTCCCCAAGTTAGGGAGTGGAACAGGTGGCTGGGATTCCATTTCCAGGTCACTGATCAAATACTGATGCTGGAAGTGCATTTGGAATTTGTGTGAAGTTGAGTTCAGGCTTGGCTATGTGAAATATGGTCAAATAGTCTACTAAGTTCCCTGTCCAGGTTTATACATGCAAAATAAGTGAGACTATGCAGTGCCTATCGAACCATATCCCAGCAATGACTCAATGCCTTTAGGGGAGAGGGCGGGAATGTTTATAGAGAAGAAAAAAATCATACACATCTTTATAATTTGTACACATAAATGGCAGTCACTCTTAATCCCTGATTCACATTCTACTGCAGAACTTGAAACTACCATGACGTGGAAGTGCCGGGGTTGGACTGGGGAGGACCAGGTCAGAAGTCACACGACACCAGGTTATAGTCCAACAGGTTTGTTTGAAATCCTTCATCAGGTGAAGTGAAGAGAAGCACACAGGCATAGAATTTATAGGCGGAGAGATCAAAAGATCATAGAAATGGTGTGAGTGGAGTGTTGACAGGCCAAATAATAAGTCTCTGCAGGTGGGCAAAAGTGTCAGATGGCGTACCCATGAAGACAGACTCAACCATGATCTTAGGTTCATGTTGCGCTATATGTAACCCCACCACACTGTTCCATTCTGTATAATCTTCCTTACTGTCCTGTTTTGACACCATCAACTTGATAACTTGTTACGGTCTCTCTACCTTAATTAGTTTGTACAGTTTTGGATTACTTGTTACTTTGGTTAGACCCTCGGCATGTGACTCTGATACCTATCATGCTATTCCAGCCATTTGGTTTGCTTCCAGCACCACCTTAGGTCATCCCTTCACTTGCTATTCAGTTGCTGACACTATACTCATAACGTCTGAGACTTTTGATCACCTGTAGAGGCTTATTATTCGGTCTGTCGACATTCCAATCACACTATTTGTACAATCTGTTGATCTCTCTGCTCATAAATTCTGTGTGTGTGTGCTTCTCTTCACTTCACCTGTCCAAGGATCAGTGCTTCAAAAGCTTGTGATTTCAAATAAACCTGTTGGACTATAATCTGGTACCGTGTGACTTTTGACCTTGAAAATACCAGGTGCTTAGCAAGACACAGTTTAAAAATCGAATAAATTGTGAATATAATAGTCATGCAGATCCAATCAACTAGCTTTCTGAAGAATTATATAAAAACATGACATTTATTCCTGCACTTTGGGAATCTGCAAAGTTTGATCCAAGTGATTTTCCAATCAGCCTCTATCTATGCTCCATCAGGCTTTCAGTGCTGAATAGCAACAGGGTACACAAAAAAAAATTATCACTGTGTTCCATTACTTTCAATATTATCATTTTGAACAAAATAAAAAAAAAAGTAAAAGGTCTAAAGGAAAATGTACATTATATCGCACATAATATTTTAAAGGTAAAATCGAAAAAGAAGTAAGGGAGAAGGCTCCAGGGATGTCAAGAAGCAGGTGTGAAAAGATTAAAGGATTAACTCAATGGTCAGGGTTATTCAAGCACTTGTGTAATCATGGAGTTTTTGATAGGGCAATTTACAGCTTGGTTACAAAAGGTACCGTTCTTTGAATTTATGATTAAATAGGTTGGTGGGTTGATCTGAGAAATATAGAGGCCCTACAACAATATCCTGGTTAGTTGGTATTTATTTATCTCAACAAAAGTCACAGTGGTCAAAAACAGTGCACAGGTAACTTTCCTACATCTGTTTTTTTTAGACATATGTGCATCTGCGTTTAACACAGAGAATAAAGGACCATTGGAAATGATTACAAGGCAGTAATTTAATCATGAGGTTCAGGTAACAGCAAAACTCATGTCTTGCAGCTCTACATTTAACCTCCAAAACTACAATACAGTCTTGAAATCTCTCTTGACTATGTATTCAAACATGAAATGTCAGGAATCATCAAACTGCTGTGCAGCTAACTGTTTAATTAAATTTTTCATTTATTCTTGAGCTGGTCAACCATGGTTGTGCTCTATAACAACAGCTTGTATTTATGTAGCACTTTTAACACATAAGACATCCCAAGGCACTGTGCATAATATTAAACACTATGCCACTAATGTACACTAGTTTACACATCATCCATATTTGACCAAATCTTACCCCTAACCCTAGCCAAATACATGTCTTTTAACAGGCTCAATTCCAAACTAAATCACAGAAAGATGACCAGAACATCAGCACATATTTTAAAAAGTTAGCTTTTAATAGCAACTGATTTCAATCAAATGATTCACAGAAAGCATGAAGAAAATTTACAAAAAAATATTTGCTTGCAGACTAGGAAGTAATTATCCTAATATAAAAGACTAAGTTAACTAAAATTACTTTTTTCAACAACAGGTCCCAATGTCCTCTCCTTTGATAAACACCTGCCAAAAAAATCACAAATCTTGTGTCTCCTCAAGAGATTCTGTAGATAAGATTCCCACTGGATTAATCAGTGCAAATGAATTGTGAGTAGAATGGATACAGAACACTATCACCGAAAGTTCATTCAGTTATTAATAAGTAAGTTTAAATAAGCATTTGAAAAAAAAAGAGACAGCAGTAATAATTGATATCAATGGTAATTAACTCTTACAGTGCTCACTTCCATCGAAGGTTTTTGAGGCTTCCTACCAATAGGTGGAGATTATTTTGCCACTGGTGGTTTGGAACACTGGACTTGTTCCTGGCTGGCTGGATACTTATAACACCCAGCTCTTCATTTTTTACAGAGGATTTCCAAACTTTGTCCTTTCTAATTAGCCAATTGGATTTTACAAAATTAAAAGCACTTTTGAGCAGTTGCTTCTTTCCTCTACTTTAATGTCATGTGCTCAGCGTCCACTTATGCAAAGTTCAGGCAAATTTCTCTATTATTTAATGTGATTTTGTTTCCCTCTACCACCCCCATAAAACGGTTTCCTTTTGTTGCAACTAACAACAACCTACTGTCATCCTCCCAAATGTTTTGATGCTCATGACCACCTGGATGTTCAACTCAAGCAAAATAGAATAGAGCTGAGGTGAATATCTATCACCTCTACTGTTTCATAATGCTTTAATTTTAGTCTAGCACAAAAGGCTACGGCCTTAAAATTTGAACCAGGTCACTCAAAGCTGATGGTAGAAAAGCCTATTTACACAATGCTAGCAAAAAACTGGAACTATCTCATTTTAAAAGTTGTTGAGGCTGGGCTAATTGAAAATTTCAAAGCAGATTGATAGATTTTCATTTCAGTTTAGTGGCAATAGGGGAAACAAATGTGTTCAAAAAGATTTAATGTATAAATTGATGTACTTCAATGCTAGCAAAGGCTTGAAGAGCTGAATGATCTAGGCTATTCTTATGTTTCACATTGTCTGCACTGACAGAGAAATTAATATTACATAATACATTGTTATCCTCAGTTATGTAATTATCTTGTCATGAACATTGACTCGCACTACAGAACTGATCAGAACTTTCCAACTATCTCAAAACTTTATTAATCTAAATTCCCGAATATTACTTCTTATGCATCTCATTGTTATTGTTAATGTAAATGTGGGTACATCTTTGCTCTCAGTACATCAATTGTAGTAATAAGTATATCAAAGTTACAGTTTGAAATGGTCATTAGAAACAATTAAGAGTAACACAGAAGTCAGTGAGCTTTCTGAAACTCCAGCAGCAGTGACTGAGAGACAAAAATAAATAATTTCAGCTGGATTCTGATATCCTTTTAAGTCTGGAAATTATGGACAGTAATATTCTCATATGGACACTGATGTATTGATATCGATCTCCTGTTTCTGTTATTTTAATAGATGAATTTGGCCAACTTATTTTTGATGCACATGTTCAATATTGGACCACAGAATCTGATAGTGCTGCAATAAATGTGCTGCTCACAGTGATTTCCGGTCTATAAGGATCAAAAATCCTTTGCAGAGGACTCTGATGGAATTTCAATGACCAGTCATTGTGAAATAGTCCTTTACAACACAACTCCCTTTAAGAACTCACCAACCATCACACACTGAGACTGACAACATTCAAATTGATTTTAAAATGCAGCCTAATTTAATGCCAATTCTTGTTGAAAATTAACCGAGGTCCACATAAATAAACAGACCTGCAAATTATATTGCTTTTGCCTCTAATACCTCCTGAAAGTTAATTATCTCATGTTGAGAACTTCTCACATTGAACAGCTTTCGGTTACAAATAAGCATCTATTCATCAAGTCCAATACTATTGGGAAAT